GACGCGTCACATAGAGGCGGCAATCAAGGCCGACACGCCGAAGCGGCTTGATAATCGACGGGTGGTCGTTTAACTAGGAGCACTATCTGGCCGTGTTCGGTTGCTTTGAAAAAGCGGGAATAGCACAATACCCGCTGCTGGTCATGGCACCGCTGGTGAACTCCCCAACGGAGACCACTCCGTAGCGACCCACCTGACGTTTCTACGAGAGATGCTGATGCGCGACTACAACAACCGTGTAGATGACTGCCTGTTTATTGTGGGAGACAACTGCTACACTAATCAGCGCCTTGATAACCTCTTGAGTGTGTCACTGGTCGGCGGTGCAGAACTTTTTCCGTGAAGTATCGGACGATTTAGACAAAGTCAAGTCGCTGATGGTCAAACTGAAGAGTTTAAACCAATCCTCAAACCTCAGGTAATTTTTAACGATTTTTGTCCAATGATTGCACGTTAACTTTGTTAACTCCGTTTTAGGTTCAAAGCTCCATTGAGGCCCCTGCTAAGTCAGGACACTCGCTGGAGCTCCACGTTTTGTATGATCCATCGCAACTTTTGACTGCTGGAGTTCATTAAGGACGACGACGACCTAGTAGCCGACGACCTGCCCGATCCAGCTGCCAATCGCCGCTTGCGCAAGCTCCTGGAGGACCTGTCGAAAGTCGATTCTGTCAGCAAGGAGTTGCAGGCTTCTACGGTATCACTCCTGGACGCGCGTGTGTACTTCGATGGACGATTGGATTCGCTGCCTGCGCTGGTATCGCATATCGGTAATGCTACTCTTTGTATGTTTTCAATATTCGCACTAATACGCTTTCTATTTTGGTGCCCGAGCTGCGATTGTGCACTCGCTTCATTGTGAGGCTGCGTGTGTAAAAGTACTCGACGGCAAGACAGCAAAACTGACGAGGGCCGAGACTGCGTCTCTGCGCCGCTTTGCTGTCCAGCGTGAAGAGACTTCCGTTGCAGCAGCGGTTGACGATGCTGATAACTCATTTGTTGAGCAGGTAAAGAAGCGTCGTAAGCTAGCTACAAGTGGGGCCAGTTGATTCACGCTATCCCGCCAACGTCAAATATCGTTGAGCGATTTTTTTGTTTCACCAAAGCTACTGTCGGTACGCAGCGCCAAGGTCTGAATCCTATCACGCTCAAACTGCTGTTTTTGCGCGTGAACAGCAGCTACTGGAACGCGCAAGTGGTCAACGAGTGCACGTAAGTAGAGATGGAATCAAGGTACTGCAATAATTGAATTTGTTTCGTTTGCTTACTCCTCCGATAATTTACGTTGCTTGTCGAGTTTTATTTGTGAACAATGCCGTATTCGGGAGCCCTGCTAGCAAGGAGAGCAAGCAGCCCACTGCACGAATCCAAGAATTGAAGCTCTTGACTGCCTATCAAGCGTGGAAGGGGGAGCTCCGCGGAAGGACGAGCCCCAGCCACGGCTCCACCAACAGGAGACGACGCTGCTCGAAAAGACTGAGACTTTACCTGGAAGCTAATACAGTGCGCGCCAAATCATTAGGACCGTCCTTTTTCGTGCACGGTTCCGTTAATTGCGGCGCCTGTAGGACGACTTGGGAGCCGCTATTTAGATATAGCGTTTGTATTGTGATTATCTAGCCGCTACATGTGCTAACGACCGCGAACTCGGCCTGCTTCACCACGCTAGCATACAAATTGACTAGATCCGCAGCAGCGTCAACACTTAGAACCACCCCCTTTTTCTGTCAAATCGAACATTGTTTATGAGCTTCCATACAAACTTATATATTAAAAGTTAGTACTTAGTGAGAGCTCCCTTGCCCTTGATGACAGCAAGGCAACGACGAGGCATGGACTCCACGAGTTTGTCCAAATACTCTTGCTCGATGGAGCCCCAAGCGTGTACAATGGCGTCCTCCAGTTGCTCTACCGTGCGATACTGGCGGCCATGGGCTTAAACCCGTGCCGCCATTGCCGACCACACGTTCTCGATTGGGTTACAATCGGGCGAGCGAGCCGGCCAGACCATGGTGTCGACTTGCATTTCCTGCAAGAAATGCGTCGTTTCACGAGAAGCATGAATAGACGCATTATCTTGCTGGAAAACAAAGTCGACACCATAGTTAGCATGAGCAAATGGCAACAAATACTCTGAGACAGTGTAGATGTAGTCACCTGAGTTTTGCCGGCCTCGCAAAATGGCCAGCTGGCTCTTGCCCTTCGCCCCAAAAGCGCCCCACACCATTACGCTGCCGCCACCGTTCTGGCGGCGTACGTAAGACTGCGCTGGCTGTCGCAAGTCACGCCAATAGTACTTGTAGCCGTCAGGTCCATCGAGATTAAACTTTTTTCATCAGAAAAATAGTATATTCCCATGTTCCTACACATATTACGATAATGTTAGCAATTAATCATTATAACCACTGTAAACAAACTTACCAGGGTTAAGAATGTGCTTTTCAGCCCACTCCAATCGCGCAGCCTTGTGGGCCGGTGTTAGCGGTAGCGTCCTGTCCATCTTCGTGTAGTTGAGATGGTCTACGTTCTTGAGCAGCCGCTGGATAGTCCGCACGGAAGCCTTGACACCGAACTGGGCCTTGAGGTCCGCGGCAAAGAACTTGCCCGTCGAAGCCGCTCGCACGATCTGCCGAACTTCTCAGTCGGTGAGAGCAGGTTGGCGTCCTGCCCTTGGCTTCTCTCTGCTGTCGCCGCTCTGCGGGATCCTCTCCGCCTTGATCGCGACACTAGCAGCCGTTCTTGAGTGGCCGGTTCTGCGTGAAATCTCACATAGCGAGACTCCACCGTCGTGCAAACCAATAACCCACCAATATTCTTGGTTAGTGAGGGCTGATCCGCGGCCCATTAGAAAATGAAAAGCTAGGAGCTCCAGCGGAAGCCGCCAGCGCGCTGGTCGCACCATTCCTCCATTCGTCATGTCAGTGTAAGTTCGATTTTTTTAATATATAAGTTTGTATGGAAGCTCATAAACAATGTTCGATTTGACAGAAAAAGGGGGTGGTTCTAAGTGTTGACGCTGCTGCGGATCTAGTCAATTTGTATGCTAGCGTGGTGAAGCAGGCCGAGTTCGCGGTCGTTAGCACATGTAGCGGCTAGATAATCACAATACAAACGCTATATCTAAATAGCGGCTCCCAAGTCGTCCTACAGGCGCCGCAAT